ATATCAGATGCATGGCTTGTTGGCAGTTCCCCTCGGTTCTCTCAGCTATTTACTACTACACAGAGGTTTACGTGTTAAATGTAATCTTTATATTGCCTTACTACACGTGAGGGCGAAATCTAAATGAACTCATGGTGTAAGGGTTGTTGACTTAAAGTCAACAATCCATACTAGTATCCATAATCTGATATGCATAGTGTAGGGCCAATAGAGAGAACCGTTTCCCTCCTTTTGCAGTCTGTATATGTTTAAAGGTCCAATGTCATGCTTTTCCGGTTATTACCCGTCCCCTTGTGTGTTATGAAGGTTGTAATGCATGTAAACGGTCTGCAGAGTCAAAAACCCTCAAAGTACACCCTGTAGCGAGCTCCAGCAAGCCGTTTAGGACAGAGAGTGAATACACGTAGTTTACAGAGATGCAGTATGAGAAACCAATGTGAGTTTGGAAAATTGCACAATATAAATCTATTCTAGTAGACCTCAACAATGGAATTATGATCAGTGGAAATGGCCATGACATGGGACCTTTAAAAAGCGCAAAGGTAATTTGCATTAGTAGACAATATTAACAACAACAAAGAGTAACATGACACTCTCCTTACCTTGCCAGAGCAATGTACCCTAAAGCCCCGCCCACTAGCTCCTTCCCATGTTTCTCCTCCAGCTTCAGGAAGAGCTGTAACATCACTTCCTGTGTGTTGGTGCTCGGATGTGTTGCTGCGAGCGGGGTGAAGGACAGCCAGCGTTTAGCTGCAGACAGAATCATTTTGAGGTGCAGAGGACAGCCGGTGGTCTCAAAGCTGCGCAGCACGGCCTCACGCTGCTCAGGAGTCAACGTTCGCTGAGATTCGTGCAGGTATGACTCCATCATTTGTCTACCTTCATCACGAGACAAACCTTCCACTTCAAAGTAACTCCTCTGACTATTCAACTTTAGCCGCATGTTAGCAAACGCCTCACTGTTGGTATCCATGGAAACCACCAGGTGGACATTGGGTGGGAGGTTTGCGGGCATCCAGCGGAGTTTGTGAGCATGGTGTACGTCTGAGAGATGATCCACAGCATCAAGGATAATGAGCAAAGTGTTCCCCTGCTGGGACACCTCAGTGAGGACGTTCCTGAAGAACTGGAGCAGCTCCTGGTGGTTGTTGGCTGTCAGAGGTGAGGGCGGAGCCAAACCCCAGGCCAAACAGATTTGGAGGCAGATGCTACGTAGGACGTTGTCAATGTTGGGTCTTTGAGGATGATGTGCTGAGAGCAGCCTGATCACCACCGCTGCCTCGGCATCAAGAACGCTGCGTGTCTCCTGCGCTACTTTGCACAGCAAAGCTGTCTTCCCCATCCCAGCAGCCCCATGTACCACCAGGGTGCCATGGGGCACATTGGTGGACTCCCACATGGCACAACAGAGTTTACCCAGAAGGCTTTCCCTGCCGTAGAGACCCCTGCATAGCTCATTACTCATGGAGACATGCCATCCAACCTGTTCAACCCAAAGGTCTGAGATGATCTCCTTTTCTTCATCAATGCTTCCCCAAATATTCCTCCTCCTCCCCTCTACCTTTAAATCAACCACCTCTCCTATCCTGGCCTTCATCTGCAACACAAACTGCTCGCAGATGATGTCCAGGTACCGAGCATGCTCTTTACGTTTGGGGTCAATGCTTCCTTTGCTGAGCTCTACGCAGTTCAAGTTAAGAATCTTCTGCCGCGTGGCGTAGAGGTGGGATTTGAGGCCGGTAAGGAGTCCCTGAGCTTCTGCATCCAGCAGGCCGTCTGCAGACAGGTCCATGTATTTAGCGAGACGTTTAGGAACGTCCTTCATCCTCTGGCAGGGAATCTCTCGCACAAAGAGTAGAGCCGATGGTTCGCTGCTATCCTTCCACAAACCCTGCTCAAATTCTTGCTCTGTGACTGTGGAAAAGAAGAGAGAGACACTCAGCTTAAAAAAATTATATTCAGTCAATAAGTGAGAAAATGTGTGAGGCGTCTGACCTGATGTGAAGAAGTGTTGTTTCTGCTTGGCTGTGATGTCGCCGGCTGCCTCTGCGGCGGCGGCAGCAGAGCGGAGAAGCTTCAACAGTTTAGTCTCTGTGAAGCGCCAGGAGAGGAGGCTGTCGTCCCGCTGCGCTTCACTCCCAGGCTGGAGGTCACCAAAGTGGGGGAAGTGATCAGTGATTGGCTGAAGAACGTAGGTGGGTGGGACCGCATTGTTGTCTTTTAAGTACCACTGATTTAGCTGCTTGACATCTTCAGGATTTTTGGAGAGTTTGGACAAAAGAACTTCAAAATGCTTCTCCGGGACAAGACGAGGAAGAGCTCGGTAGCCATACCGGTTCCCCAGCAGTGCCTTTTGAGCCCAAACATAAAAATAGAGCAGAAGAATGAGCTGAAAGATCGTCCTGGATTAAAAGACTTATCACTTTTACCTGTAGCCTTATCCTTCAGCTAATAAAAACATGCAATAAACCATTCAAAAAGACTCTTATTTAGTGGCTTCATGTTGATTTTGTTTAATTATTATTCCCAAGTGAAGTGAACGTGTGAGTTATTTTGATGGAGATTTTTTTCATCACTATACATTTCTTCCAGCTGTAAAATAAGACATCCATTTTTGGTTGTCCCATTTGTGACAGTCTTTTTTAGACAGGCAGATATTGAACCACTTGAGCCAGGTAAACAAGGTATGTAAATGTCAGTAAACTTCCAAGTTATACGAACATGTAAGCAAAGCATATATTACAGCTACGTTGACGTTACTTTGAATCGCGGGGGTAAGCTAAACCGTTAGCAAGTAGCTATAGCTAGCCAGATATATTAAATAAACACTTTGTCATACAATCTAAATGTAATGTTTTTTGGCATTACCTGGTGATTTCAAAGAAAGCTCTCTGGGAAATGTTGACTTACTGTTCAACATGAAGCTAGAAGCTACCTTACAGTACACCGTTGATCCGGAGTCCTGTCAGTTAAAGTGTTTCATAGTTAGCTTAGCTAAGCATCAACCTAGCACTGAAATATATGGATGTTATGTGACAGTATTTCTGAAAAAAATTCAGCTGAAATGGTGGCATAGTTGCCACTGCTTTACGTGTCGACAGCATGTTTGAACGTGTTTGCAGCAGTAAATGTGGCTGTTTGGCCCCTGACGTTGTCATAACAACACCTGAATTTCAATGTGCAACCTCTTTTTGTGACAGAGTTTTGCAAGAAATTCTTCTGAATGATATTCCTATTGACAGCTAGTTTCTATGTGAACATTATGAGATGGACAGCCAGAGAGAATAAATGAAAAACAGTTATGAAATACTATATGACAAAACAAGAATACAGTTTAAGTGATTTGTAAAATATCCATACAGAAAAATCTGTTTACAGTTCTGTTTCATATGGGTGTTGAGAGATGTATCCATAGATCTCTTAATGCTGCTCTCAAAGTCTAGCAGATTGATGCTTTTAACTTCAATATTTAAAAAAATCTTCCCGGGGGGGCATGCCCCCGGACCCCCTAGAGGAGGTTAGTTCCACTGTGTTTACATGCTTATTTATACAATATGTGTGCTTATGCTAACATCATAAGACAAAAGTTGGTTCCGTGTTGTGTGTAGGGAGAACCCGCCAGAGTGAGGGGGGCCCCCAAGCCAAAGCTCGCTTAGGGCCCCCAAAAGTCTAGGGCCGGCCCTGATCACCGGTACCAAAAGAAAAAAGACTGAAGTGCAAACCCAACTCCAACTAGCATTTAAGCCTCCAACACTCGCAAAAAGTTCAGACCGAGCCAAAGCTATTACAAACGCCAAATATCCTTATGTTGCCATGTTAGCAAAGCGCTACCTGACTGTATCTGCTACCTCTGTCCCTAGCGAGAGGGTGTTCTCCACAGCAGGAGACATTGTTAGTGCCAGCAGATCTGCCCTTTCGGCAAGCAATGTGGACAAGCTAATCTTTCTTTAAAAAACATGAAAATAGAATGACAAGCAAGCAGGGCCGTTTCTAGCTTTTTGGGGCCCCTATGCAAGATGCTGTTTGGGGCCCCTAGTTTTTACAATGGGGGGGATTCCGAAGCCTTTAAGATGATCTGTGGAGAAGCATGAATCTCTTCATGTTCAGGTTCAGATAAACAATAAGGCTCCTCTACGTCAATAAATGCAAGAAATGCAGCATTTTCTCAACAATGTTTAATTTATATTTCTCATCTTCCTCAGACGTCACTCATTGGCTGACAGCCCAACAATGATTTGGACTTTATTA